ACGGCGTTCCAGTTTACGGCGAGCTTCCTCGGGGTCCGGAGGCACTGGGGGCATCTCACTATAGTACCGAAACGAACCATGCGAGGTGGGCTTTTGGGACAGCTTTGTTCGCGCTGCCACAGGAGTTGCCGAAGAAGTCCCCGCTTTCTTGCCACCGGCAGCGGCTGATAGTGGAACCGGCGGCTGGTTGGTAGTGAGCTGGTCAGGGGAGTGCGAAAGCTCTTGAGCGCTTGCTGGTCCTGCTAAAAATTGGCTGGTCACACAATCGCCCAAAGACGTTGGCCGAGGCGACCCGCCAGTGACCAGTTCTTCTGGTGAAGGCCGTGTAAGAACCCGTGCTCCAGCTGGTGCAGCAATAGGCCGTGGCCGTGCCTGATGACCCTGGTCGGAAATCCAGCTAGGGTCACTTGATGCAAACGCACCGGGTTCAACGGTGAGAGCCGAAACAAGATGACTATAATGCGTGGATAGGGTCTATAAGCAACGCCAGTATGAAAAGTGAAAAAAAACAGCCACCCATAGAAGACCAGAGCCACAAAGGTGAGACTGATGATGAGGGCAGACTCGTTAATGTCAAGCTTTTCCGATCATACACTATACTGAAGCATACCAGGGTCCAAGGACGCACAGACTTGACTGATAAAAAGTGGTATCCAATGGGTGTGCTGGGTGGGTTTCAAGGCCACCACCCCGTGAATGCCACCATGATCACCCGGGTAGATCCATTAGCCATGCTGGGTTAGAGATCTGCCACATTTTATCTCCAAACACAGCAGTGCCAGGGAGTGTCTAACCAGCTGGCCAGTACGGTGGCCTATTTCGGGACCCTATACCTGAAGCAAATCAATTACGGTTGCACCCCGAAAGTCCAACGGTCTCAAGGAGTATGCTGCTGGGCGCGTGTTTGGTTTGAGTCCCCAGCGATAAAAAACTGGCTGGGGCGTGAAGGCACCAAAGGCCAAGGCTACAAGGCACGATGGCTTGCAGACACACAGCCACCATGTTGGCCAAGTGCAGCGTAACTTACGGTAGCTAGCGCGCCCGCTATTGGCCGCGAGGGGTTATCGGCCGCTGGCAAGCCAGACGAGCTATCAGCAGCAGAGCAAGAAGATGGGGTAGCGATATCACTGCCGGGAGCGCTATCAGATGATAGAGAAAGACTCGGTTTATGAAACGACGATGGGTTAGTAGAATCGGGTACAGATACTAGCCCTTGCGATGAAATCTTCAAGCTATCTTCTTGCACCACGCCGCTCTTGGGCTGCAATCCAGGCGCCTCTAATGACCGTGGTGGCGGCAAACGGCGTTCTGCGGTTAAAAAACGAGGCAAGAAATTGGGATTGACAACCGAAGGAGGAGGAGAGGAAGGCGTGTCGCGGCTAGCCTGCCGTGACCCTTGCCGGTTATCTTCACCAGCCATCGTCAAAGTAATGCGAACAACGGGGCAGAATCGAGCGAGTGGTCACAGAAAACACCCCGCCAGCCCAAGGCGATATTTCGCAAATAGATACAAGCGCAGGAATTCTTGCAGCAAAAAAATATCTAAGGAACACCCACGCAGCAAAACAGGGCGCGAGAACAAGAGAGTGAGCGCCATGGCAGGCAGACCTGTTAGCTAAGCAGTAAATGCAGCCCAAGTGTTACGCTTCGAGCTTTGGTACCATTGCTAGGGGGGAATGTATGTGTGACTGCGGAGAAGTGAGCAGTAATGTGCAGCGGCGCTATTGGCCAGGTGAATGCCATGGCTAATGGCCACATGCAGCCGGAGTGCGCCCGAGGAGCGACTTACCGGGTCTATGAGCGTGCCAATGGGGTGGGGTAGCCCCGCAATCGAGGGCCTATTACACCTCAACGAAAATGCAACCAAGCAAAGAGGAGAGGGGACGGCCGAGCTGAAGGAATTCGGGGGTGCTGCGTAACAGACGCTAGCAAACGGCGGCCAGAGCTGGTAGCGTGGACGTCGTGCAGTGACGACACTCGGGTGACCAGCGGGCCAGAACCCTGCCAACACCACGCGTGAGGCTAAGATTGGCAATAGGGTTGGAGGAAAAAAAGGAAGCGTTTACGCTGAGGGTGATCTAGCGGGCCCGCAGGGGGGAGGCAGCAGGCCAAGCCAGATGGTCGAACCGGCTGCAGGGAGGTGAATGGTGCGGCCTCTTTCCAAGCAATAGCTACCTGCGTATGCACAATAATAGGGTCAATCAACCCCGGTGGCCTGGGTCGAGCCGTGCGTGTTATGACAACACTCGCCAATTCTGGGGACCTTGACAGGCGAGAGTCAGCGCAAGCCGTGCAGACTGGTACCTTGCGGCCAGGTATGGTGGGCAGAAGCTGCAAAGGGACAACCAGCCGGTCAACGAGAAGCGGTCACCACTGGACGGTAAATGGTCGGAACCAAAAAGGGAAACGAAGCACCAAGGAGAGAGGGCGCCAGCGGTTCACACACCGGGGAAAGCGCAATCAAAACAGAACGCAATACAGGAGCACCGAGCGCAGAGCAAGCCCAACGATAAGAGACCAATAAAGGGGCAGTAACCCAAGCTGCAGCAATAACACGCGGCGTGGGGACTGGCCGTTTGAGGTCGCGCCCGAGTGTCGTTGCAGGATGGCACAACGCAGCGCCAGATAACAACCGATACTTGAAGTGCGGCAGCAAACACCAACGGTAGACGAAAATTACACTGTTCACTGACTGTGCCTACAGGCCCGCTGCACATGGAAGACAAGCCGAGTCAGCGTACCCGCGCCACCACCATAAAAAACGTAACCAATGCCGGCTGCACCCGTCAGACGCCGTCGCGTGCACGACCGCAGTGAGCTCCAGCCCCAGAGATACGCAAAGGCCCAGCCGTACACCCGTTGGGGTGTGCACCAGCCAAACTCAGATGGGGCAATTCCCTGTCAGCACCCCAGAGAATTTCTCCCAGAGGGACGGGAACGGATGGGTGGGCCCTGAGGAAAAGGGGTGGCCACCACGAGCGATGATACAATTGACCCAAGGCAGGCGAGGAAAGAGAAAAAAGGAAAGAGAAGGAGGGCAAGGACTGGCACCAACCAAAATCACCACACGAAATTGCCAGGTGCGTATGCAGGAGACAAACACACTGAATACCGCAAGGAGTGATGCTGTCGCCAACCACCTACAGCCACTCACTTTGAACAATGAATGAATGCTGCCAAGCACGAGAGAAAAGGATAAAAACCTGACATAGCGCAACCGCCCGCCAGCCGTTTGCCGTTAAAAGCGGCAGCTGGCCGTCACTCGCCTTAGCACAGGGCCTGAAGGATACAATGATGATGATGAAAAAATAGGACAGGCCGCCGCGCCAGGTACACTCAGTAGCCGAGAAAAAAAGACCCACTCGTGGGATATATATTTAGAGAAGGTGTAGAAAAAACGCCCACAGACGATATGATTCTGGAAAACAGAAGAGGAACAAAGTCCCGCCAAACCATTCAGCTGGCACGGTCTGTTAGTTGAACGTAGGCTAGGTGGGCAACAAGCAACCAGAGAGGAAACGAGCACAGACACACATAAACTGAAGTAGCCACTGCGGGCGAGGCCTGCTGCTCACCCATCGCACACTGGTGGGTCTAACCGGTTCCCAGCGTCAGCCAGTTCCATGCCAGCCATGGTTGCGCAGCATCAAGAAGCAAGCGGTGTGGTCTGACCTACACACAGGCAAGAAGTGTTGTGAAAGAAAACGCGACTCAACGGAAGAGTCTAATTATTGGTGCGTGGGCGAGTGGGGCTTTAAATAGGCACTGTCTTCGGCTCTTTCAAAAAATTTCTAATGGTAGCGGCGGACCTCGAACTATTTTTCGTTCAACCGAGCACCGATGCACATCCGGCTAGAGATGCTGGTACCAGGCTAACCGACAAATGCCGTCACTACCGCCCCTTGGCCACTACCTAGGCGTGTTAGTGCTAGGTATGCACACGCATGGGCGGCAATGTGTGCGGATCGGCCAAGGAATGGAGCACAGTCGCGGGGACCGCTCTACCACATTTTTTTTCACTCGGTGGATCGCCAATGCCGCTGATGGGGGCGAAAGTTACGTCTCATCCCACTTTAATCAATTGCGTAACTGCATAGAGACCGCACGCGGTTGACCGCCTGGATGCGCCTATGGGGTGACCCTGGCTGAATTGCCGGAGCTTGCGCTAATCGCATCGAGCATGGCAATGGGAGCGACGCATCGCAAGCCCTAGGGTTGCGGCTGGCGAGTTCGCTCCTGAACCGAGGCTCGCTCCAACCGCGAGAAAGACTGTGTGTTGACGCCTGGCCGATCCGTGTGCAGTCTACGCCGCATATACAGTCTAACATTTACCCCTCCCTTGGTACTCTATGCAACACAACGCCGTGGCTCGTGGTCTAATTAGTTGGTGGATCGAAAAAAAGAAGTGCCATACTCAACTATTGACTGCTAGACAAACACATAAAGCAGTCAGTGCAACGGAACACCCAGTAGAGGCCATGATGGAGCAGGGTTGGTGCACGCACTACAGCTGGCGCAGCCCAAGCATGCTTATAAGAACCGACAGCGCGAGGGTCCAGGACTGCCCACTGATGAGTGTGTTCGGAAGAGCGTGCGATATAGTAAGGCTAAACGTGGTAACAAAAGGCCACCACAATTCGATACATCCATTTTTTTCTAGCCCACGATGCCATACACCTGTAAACACTTTTTTTGCGATAAAATGAAGCCCCTGCTCTATGGTGCCGATCCACTCCTCGCGCAAGCAAGCTAGGGCGGGCAGGCTCGTGATCAGCGTAGGAGCAGAACAAAGACAAATTGAAAAGGTCAAGCATTTGTCAGAGCTTTGCAGCACGATGCCAACAAATCGCATAGAAACTCAGTGGTACGCGTTGACGGCTATTACTAACAACAGGGTTGTTCGGTTAAGCCCTCCAATTTACAAAAAAAAATTACGCCAGTCCCAGCTATTGTTTTAAGTATTATTCTTCATGCGCATTATAAAGCTTTTAAAGTGGCAAGCCCGCTTGGCTCAGTGGTAGAGCGTCTGTCTCGTAAACAGAAGATCGGTGGTTCGAATCCGCCAGTGGGCATTTGCTTTTGTTCAATTGTCGAAAGCCAAGAAATTTCTCTGACAGGCAGCGCATTCACTTTTTTGTCACGCGAGAAAGCTGCCTGACCCATGCAAATTACCGACAGCCAACACCATGGCTGCAAAGAGGTAGGCGTGTTTTTGTTGGCGTTGACCGCGTTATTACGTGTAGGCAGAGCTCAGACCATCGAGTTGCGTACGGTGCGAGGCATAAACACGCGCCAAAAAATTTACGGGTTTGACCAGCACTAATGCTTGCCAATACGCGGCTGTGCTTTTTCACAACGCCAATGTAGGGCGAGTGGCCGTTGTTGGCTGACAATGCCAAACGCTGGTCCTTGATCTTATTCTTATACTTGTCGGGCCAGGCATCGTTAACAAAGCAAAATATCGCCCTCTATGCAAACGACAGTCGGCCGGGTGCAGCTGCCCATAGCACAGTTTTCGGCTTTCTACGTTGGTCGTTAGGGCACGCAGAGTTCAGCTGGAGGCCCTCCATTGTGATTCCAGCGTCAGGTAATAAAAGGCCAGGCAATCAATAGTATTCAAGTGAATGGTTGGCACTGAAGAGACCAGTCTCTTCAACGTGTTTCTTCGGCGTCGTTCACAGATCAGGCGATTTCACTGATTGCGGTGAATAACGCTGAGGGCAAAAAAGACAACAAATCACTCTAGGCGCTGCGAGGGTCATGACAACAACAATAACAACAACACATTACATCCACCAGTGATGCGGCCACAGTTGTACCACTGAGCGCGGGCAGCGACGCCACTGGCC